CGGCCAGGATCCATCATGGGCAACTGTGGCATTGCCGCCTGCCGAGATTTGTGGGTCCTAAAGAGAGGAGAGAGGAGAGAGAGTGTGTGAAAAGATGGGATATTATAGGAATTTTGACGAAAAAGTCAATATGAAATGGGTTTTGGTGGTTGATTGAAACAAAATATACTTTAAAATGGTTCCTATAAAAATTAAACAATAAATATAGCTCTTGTATTACACCCCTATTTTAAAGATGATCTCCATATAAAAACCCAATATAATAAGCATCAAACCCCAATCGTATCCAAACTGTTAACACCCCTAGCTATTGAACCATATCCACGTGAATAGTTATCTAGTTCCTTTGTAAGGCACGTATCTGCAAAGGAATAGAGAAAAACTCAACAAAATAGACTTTTATTTGGGGGAAAGCAAATGTCAAATATAAGCTACTTTCTTATTAGAAGGATGCATATTTCCATTTATTTCTTAGATATTTTTCCAAACGTGGATCTTATCGATTAACTTTTTAGAACCAAAATTTTCATACAAATTATTTATATATCTTTTGAGAAGAGTGTTGGAACTTTGAAAAACATTCCTCTTATCGTAGGAAATTGCGAGGAAATGAGTGACGTAGTACTACAATACACGTGATTTTGTCAACACGATCATCTATTTTCCAATGCACTTTCCTATTAGGGCCTGTTCGTTTGCCTTAAAAAAAATGGGAAATCAAAGAAATGGAAAATGAAGAATTGTTTTGGAGTGTTCGGTTGGCTAAAAAAAAAAAGGAAATCAAAGAAATGGAGATGAGATGAGATGAGTTGTCACATTATTATTGGATGATGTGAGTGATTTTTTAAGAAAACTAGTTTTGATGTTGTTCGGTTGGCGAAAAAATAAGGAAATGAATTATAAGAAACCTATTTCCTGTAGTTTTCTTGTTTTCTTTTGTTCGGTTCATTCTTAAAAATAAGAAATGAAATGAGATGAGATGAGATGTCATTGTATTATTGGTTGATGTGAAGAAAGATTAAGAAATGTGTTTTCACAACTTTTTGGGATGAAATGGAAGAAATGAAATGTTAATGAGATGAGGTGAATTGTTATAATATTTTATTCGATGATGTGAGTGATTTGAAATAATAAAAAGAGATGAGTTGAGTGATGTTTGGATGAAAATAATATTTTATTAGATGTGATGGATGAGTTGTTAGATGAAAATAATATTTTATTAGATGTGGTGGATGAGTGGTTAGATGAAAATAATATTTTATTAGATGATGTGGATAAGTTGTTGGATGAAAATAATATTTTATTGGATGTTGTGGGTGAGTTTTAGGGATGGAAATGGAAGAAATGGGTTATTTTGAGATTTCCACTATTTCCATTTCCATTTCTTGCTTTTTTGAAAACAAACGAACAGGCCCTTAAACAAAATATTAGAGTTTTGAGAAGTTATGTAAATTTTGCATTTTTGACTGTATAAAATGATTCTATATAGTGCTTGCACCTGATTTAAAATTGATAATAATATATGGAATCGTCTTCCTTCTCGCTATATTTTCTAGAGAGTTTCTCTATATGGGGGTTTTTTCTTCTGAATTTGGATTTTCTCCACTATCAAAAAAGTTATGAAGATAACACTATATTAATCAGAGCCATTGATTTATTGATGTAGAACACACTACGAATATATTTATGGAGAAACGAGACCGTCAAAGGCCCAAACGCTGGTCCAGCCAAAGAAAATAATTTGCAACAAAGAACGAGTCATATCTCTCAAACCATACATTGGAACTGGACGAATTAAATCGCGTATTTTTTCAAGACGGAATCAACCGAACCCACCATTTACATGAAATTCCCTTCGGTTTGAGAGATATTAGAGTTTTTGTTAGTTTTTTACTATTTTGTTTTAGGAGTCTGTTTTGATTAGGAAGCAACTCCAGTTTGATTCTAAATTTGACCGATTTACTTTCCTAATATATTGAGTATTTTAAGAAGAGTTTTTTAATTTTATTTTTACAAAGTTCAGGTCATAATAAGAGTCATGTTTATTTTCTATTTAAGCAGAGTATTGTAAGTCCCAGAGGCATAACTTTTTTATCAATAAAATTCTTCTTTAATATCTTTTTCGTGGATTCAAAGTTTTTCGTGGATTCAGAAAACACTCTTTAGTGGATTGCGATATCGTTCTTTCGTGGATTCAAAGTTTTTTCGTAGATTCCGATATCGTTCTTTGTGGATTCAGAAAACACTCTTTAGTGGATTGCGAGGTTTTCACTTCCGCGTTGCGTTATTTATGTAGTCAGTGATTAATATTATTCATTTTATATCTAAACTTTTACAATACTCTAATGAATTACACACTATTTTTCTAATCTATACCAAAAAAGAAATCACAACGGCCACTACAAAATTAGCGGTTAGGAAATAATCCTGACCTCCTCCGCTACTTTCCCACCTGGGACCGTTAAATTGTCTCGTCCGATTTCCCTCCTCGTTTCAAAAAGGTAAGATGACCGCCAGCCCGCACGCAGTCCCAAGAAGCAAAAACCCCATCTCAAAAGCACGGTAACCAAACTGACGGTGACCAAACACCACGAAGAGAGCGGGTAACAATAAACAACCTCATTTCCTTCCCGTTGCAAGTTGACCGGCGAATCGACAAGCTTTGAAAGAGACTGTAAATAAACAGAGTAGTAAATCGCCGCTCACGGAGAACGTCACGTCTGCCGTTAATCTCACCGGTGGTCTCTCAACCTCCCATTTTCAAACTTCGGCATTTTCGCGCTCGTCTCCGGAAAAAAAAACCCTAATAAATTCTCCGCCCCAGAATTTCTCTTCACCTCAAAACCTCTCCTCTTCTATCAATTTAGGGTTCCTACGGGTCGAAGCAATGCGGAGATGAGATCCGAATCAGATAGGGAAACAGTTAAAGATCCAGCACCAGCGCCCAAGAAAGATCGCCACATCGTCTCTTGGACTCCCGAGGTATTTTTTCCGATTTTATCCGGAATTTTTCTTCGTACGAATTTTTGATTTATTTTTTATTTTTTTATTTTTTTTTGCAGGAGGATGAGCTGCTTCAAGAGCAAGTCTGCGCCAAAGGAACGGATAAGTTAGTTTCCGATGTTTGTTTCCGATGTTCAGTACTTAATTTAATTTAATTAATTAATTCATTAATTTATTTATTTATTTTGATTGATGAAACAGTAACGAAGTGATAAAAGTTTATCTTTTTTTAATGGATTTCATATGATTCTCTGTTTTTTTTCACTTTTCTATTTATTAGTTGGACGAGTATTGCAGCTAAATTCAAGGACAAGACCAGCAGGCAGTGTAGAAGAAGGTAATTTTACTAAATTTTGTGTTAGAAGGTGATAAAAACCATTATTTCCCCTTTTTTTTGGGTTAAGGACTAGGTATGATTAAGTAGTTGGTTAATTTAATCTTCCTCAAAGTTATTAGAGAACATCAAGGATTTTCAAATTTTGTAGTGTATGGATATACCTACGAGTAGCAGTTTGTAATTTCAAGAGGACTAAACTCGCTTAAAGCCAATGATTTTACTTTGAAATTGTGTACTTGAAATGGAATTTGCAGATGGTGCACATACTTGAATTCAGAGGGGAAGAAAGGCAGTTGGTCAGAAGAAGAGGATATGATTCTATGCGAGGTAAGATATTCGCAATCTATTGGATAATTTTCTGCTTGAAATATGAACGCTCGTAACTGTAGTTTTGGGAATTTGTACCGCTAGCAATGCTATCTTTTATGGGGTTCTTTTTTACTTCTACTAGCAATGTCTTTGGCTCTGGTTTTGTGTGGTTTTGTCTAAACCTGTTTACACTCACACCAGATTGTAAGTCGAGGATTTTGTGCTTATGATATTTTTGTCATGATTGGAATCTTTGATAGATGATGAACAATTCCTATATCGCCTATTGACCTTTTATATTGATCAGTGCGATTGTGCATGTAATGTTCATGTTTGCCATGTGTTTTGCAATACAATGATTTGGTTATCTCTTTATGATGTATGAATGCAGAAATGTTTTCTACTTGGTCATCTGATATTAGTTTGTTGAAACTCTACGACGCCCTTAATTTTTAAATATCTACTCTGGAGGTGTGCATGATACCTAGATAAAATCTTGTGCATAGGCTCAGAAGATATTTGGAAACAGATGGACAGAGATAGCTAAAGTGGTCTCCGGAAGGTAATTTGGTGGAGATAATTAACTTTTACATGTATATCCTTTCCTCTTTCTGGTTCTCAACAAGAATGAGATTAAGACGCATGATTTTCCTATGTACAGAACAGATAATGCTGTGAAGAATCGCTTCACAACACTTCGCAAGAAACGAGCAAAGATCGAGTCTTCAACAAAAGAGAATGACTCGTGGGTAAATTCAAATAACAAAAAGGTCACAATCCAGAACGATTTCAGGTGCAGGAGAAAGTTTTCCAGATTATTAGATGTAACTACAGTAATCAGATTCATGTTGATATATACTTATTGCTTACTTTTACATTCGTAAGGTAGGTATCAGATCTTAGATCCTACAGAAAGCCACAACCCGGTAACAGGGGAAGTCCAGTTAAGGTCTCCACTATCTGTGCTTCCTCAAAACATTAATAGTGTCAGTGGATTGCTACTTCCATATTGTCCTGACAACAACGCTAAATCAGCAGCACATGATGGTGAGGACTAAGCACTTTGGTTCTTCTGTTTCCTTTGTTAGTTCATATTCCACCGTAAAAGTTATTGAAACGTTTCCCAACTCAAAGTGAGGACAGGATCAGACCATAAGACAGAAGGAAGTTTTCTCAGGAAGGATGATCCGAAACTCACTGCATTGCTGCAACAAGCAGAATTGCTTACTTCTCTTGCGTTGAAAGTTAATTCAGAGAATACTAGCCAGAATCTAGAGAGTGCCTGGAAGGTGACAAATATAAACAATTTAAAGAACCAAGATGAGAACTTCCGCTGTAACTGAATTCAAGTGCTGTATTATATTATATAATCATGTGATATTGGTTGATTTTATAATCAGGAACTACAGGATTACTTAATCCAGACTGGCTACAGAAGTATCACTCCCCGAACTCTAGATATGGACTTCTTCCTTGATGACTTCAAGGACTTGATCGAGGATTTAAAGAGCGAGAATACAGGAAATAATCTATCATGGAGGTAGCATGTACACAGCACTCTTTGTGTCAATTGTTTATAAATCAAGTAATTTTGCTCAATGATATGGCATCAAGTAAATCTCTAGCTCATCCCACAGGAGGCCTGGTTCGCATGAGGAGTCTCAGGAGAGTTCTGAGTGCAGTACAGGGTCAACTAATGTGTTTCAGGTTCACACAAGCAGTAGTAGTCAAGCTGTATCTAGTCAGAATGCCACAGATACTTGGCATCAGGAAGATACATTAGGTTTAAGCATGTGCAATTCTCAAGGTAACCAATGCACGTCAGAATCTCTCATTATCCTTTCTTTCAAACTTCAATTAATATATTTTCTTGTGGTTTCAAATTTGAATTAAATTTTCATATTGATAAGACGTAATTATGTTTCTTCAGTGATATGGGCTTCATCCTCTTTGGAAGAAGCAAAAGGGAATGTTAGAGACTCTTGCACTATAACAAGTTCAGAATTTGACTCCCCACATCAAACACCCTCTTTCAAATCCCTCACTGAAGGAATTCCTACCCCAATGTTTTCAGCAAGTGTAAGTAAATAAAAGCTATCTAGCATACTATAGAGATAGGTGTGCACCATGGTTAGTCTCTTGTTTCTGTTAGTTTTTTGGTTGGGCCATCATTTAATCATTTGGTGTGTGGTGAAATACGGTATGAAAAGCGTTTAGTGTATAATACAATCAGAAAATTTCATAAAAAGAATAAAAGTTCCTAAATTTCATAAAAAGGATAAATTTAAATATATAAAAATGTTTACCAGAAGAATTTAGATGCACATATGTTTGAGTATTATTGAAAACTTATAAAAGAAGCAAGATGAAATTTGGTCGAAATATCAAGGAAAATAACTAACAATGAATTGCATTATAATTAAAGTTGACTAGTGTTAGTCAAATGAATGTTTTGGATTGAAGTTTACAAATACGCAAATCCGGAAGCCCTCCTTTTTGTAAGCTTTTAATTTAATGGCTATTCCTGACATCAATAAATAAAATTTACAGGTCTGGCCGGGTGCCTGCACGAATTTCCAGCTAAAAATAATAATTCGATGCAAGTAGATGAGCTTTGGAAATAAAATTTGCATAATGCATGAGGTTACTAGTCACAACATTTCTTCCAATTGTGATAACATACATATAGGTACTATTAGTCAGTTTGAATGAATACTATGCATACCTTATGGACTTTCGGAAGTAGATGTTACCCATATGGTATTTGTCAAATATGTCCAGCATGTTAGGTGTGTGTGCGCATCCATGTTGCTGTCTTGGGCTTTATTTTTTCTGTTCTTTTCCTTTTCTTCTCTTTGTTTTCATGCATGCGCTGAATGGCAGAGGAAAGAGTTGGAAAAACCTCATCTTTGGCAGATACATACTGGACAATTCTGCACATACATAGTTTAGGTTCATGATAAATTCCAAAATTTTGTGCTATGTTCAAATCCTTGCAAAATAGCACTTGGCTATGTTTGTCAACTGGTTCCTTCATTACCAAGATCGTCATTTTGCCTATTTATTTATTAACCAGAAGAAAATACTTGTCAAGCTAAGATATTTGGGTATTTAGACAATCAAGTATGCTGTAACAGAAAGAAGACTGTATAATTGAAAATTTTTGTAAACAGCCTTCTCAGCGTGGATTGCTCCAGAGTTAGCGCCATTCTCATAGGAAAAGGCTTAATTCATGTTTCCTGTAAATAGTTTCACCTAAAGCACTACTTAATCATATACTGTAAATAATTGGTTTGTCAATGTTTTAATAAACTAGCTTAACTAAAATTATATACTTATCTTTGAAAGTATCAATTTATGTTCCTGTGCATTGTGCAGGAGAGGCGATTCCTTGTTGGTGTGCTTGGCATATCATCCCCTGCACCTGGTCCAAGTACTTCCCAGCCACCATCCTGCAAAAGAATTCTTCTTGATAGCCTGTGATAATCCTACTATGGTATTCTCTACATATTTCATTTTTTTGCCCCTTTTCATCACATCAACCTACAACTTTCTAAATTATCATCACGATCATCATAGCTTTTCCTCCTAAATGGTTTTCATACTCCTTGCATATAGAAGTTTGATTGTTTCATGTGTGCCTGGTGAGTTGAAATTCTCTGTTTCTTCACTACTTGTTTTTTGGTGTCAAAATTAGCAGTGTATTCTTCAGACTGTTTCCTAATTTGTTATTCGTTGTACATAAAAGTTTCCCATAAATTTCCAGAGTGCAACTATACACATCATAATCACTGAATTCTGGAAAGGTTTACAGTGACCTTTCCTTTTTCTTGTATTGTAACTTATTATAAAAATTAGTCTCATTCAGTTGTGTGTCTGTCGCCATCAGTTGTATAACTTGTAGCACTCACGTTAAAGATGAGATCGTAAGTTGGTTTTGTGTGTAATGTATGAGTTCAATGTCAGCAGGGGAGGATCTACATACAGTCCAGGGGGGGCCACGGCCCCCCCAAATTTTGGGGAAAAAAATTAGAGTGCTCTATTCTTTAAGCCCCCTCAAAATTTTGGGGGGAAAAATTAGGGTGCTCTATTCCTAATTTGGGGAAAAAAATTAGTTTGTGAATATTAATTATTTGAAGGTTTTTATGTATATATTAATAGTAAATATATTACCATGAGTAGCAACAAGATTAATAAAGGGGGTTTCATTGAAATTGGAAATTTATGGAGAGGTATTTAGCGAATGGGCAGAATGAGCTCGTGGTTATCAAGACATCACCATTGGGCATCATTATCGATTAGACTTTCTTTATGTCGCGATCGATTCACAAATGCAAGAAATTAATGTGCGTTTTAGTGAAGATGCGACAGAATTGCTCATGCTTAGTTCTGCCTTAAATCCTCAAAATGCATCTGAGGCTTTGAGAATACAAGATATATGCAAATTGGTTGGTAAGTTTTATGCACAAGATTTTACAAGTGAAGAAAAAGAGAGTTTGAAGATGCAACTGGAACATTATGAGCATAATGTAGTCAAAGGGTCAGACTTCAAAACTCTTTCAACCATTTCTGAGTTGGGTCAATGGTTGGTAAAGACTAATAAATCTGCTACATACGACCTCATTTCTAGAGTGATCGTACTTGTGCTTACTCTTCCAGTTTCTACCGCTACTGCAGAACGATCATTCTCAGCTATGAATATCGTCAAGACTAGACTTCGAAGCAAAATGGAGGATGCTTTCCTCTCCGACGCATTAATGGTGTTTATTAAAAGAGAAATTGCTAAAAGTCTAAGCATTGATACTATCATTGAAGGCTTTGAAAATGTTAAGGAACGTCGAATTCCTTTTAGTTAGAGAAATTTTAGTTATAAAAAAAATAAATGATGCTTATTTGACTATTTTTTATATAATATTTATCTTCCTCTTTTGAAATATTTTAGAGATATTGATGTTGGCTATTCTACTCGTTTTATGTGGGTTGTGGTATATCTCTTGTGAATAAAATTACATTAAGAAAATTTTTTATCTATCTTTTGTACGCGCCCCCCCCCCAGAACTAAAATCCTAGATCCGCCCCTGAATGTCAGATATTTTTTCTGTCTCCCTTACCACATGTAATATCACGTACGGAAATGAGAAGTCAGAATATACTTATGTAAATGCATGTTTGGGGTGTAAGATTGAGATCTCTATATGAAATTTTATTTCATATGATCTACTTTCTTTTTCATCTATTCTACTAGTTGGATCTTTGGATTCTTGGTGTATTTTCAACCGTTGCAAGGTTAAACTCGCCAAAATTGTGATCATTGTTACTCTGTCTTTAAATCAAAACTTGAAACCTGATCAGTAATGAATTGTCGCACTGTTACTATTATTACAAAAATTCCCGCTTGTCCTACCACATCAACTAGCACAACTTGAGATAATACCTTAAATTTTAACAAAAAAGTTCTTGCAACTGTGAAACAGTAGTACTTTATTGCAACTATAATTGCTTCAGTTCCTTCTTTCTTTTAAAAATGTGTGTATCTCGTAAATATTATTCATGATATGCTTAATCCTTGCCGTGACAGATTCACTCATCAAAGCCCATGTTGTGGTTATTGAGGCCCTTTAAATATTAGAAGTTTGATTTGCTCACCAAATTACTTTCCATGATTAACCTTCTGATACTCAAATATTTTTTATTTGATTCCTTCTCCTTGATTGTCTTTTGAGCCAATCTTCGGTCATTGTTAGTACTCCTTCTAAATTTATCAGATAACTTTTAGGTACTGGCTTTCAAAAAAGCTTTTTAGCATAAAATCATTTATAGATCATGCTTCCACCTTTTGTATCTAAAATAGCTTTCGTAAATAAAATACCATAAAATGCTCCTATTATGTTTAAACCAGTGTGCAGCTAGGATGGCAAAAAGTACTCATGATCAAGTGTGAAACATTTGACTGGTTCGTTCTCGTATGAGTTCACATAGAATTCATATAAATTCTCTCCTCGCACATGGGCCAGGTTTTGTAATTTGCACCAGCACAGCCCTTTTCTCTTTTGACTGCACATAATTAACACAGAATCAATTTGACAAAGTTATCATTTAGTCTATTGAGAACAAATCCTATCTCTTAGATGTGATTAGGGATGTGCCTTTTCTAAGAGGCTTAAGGATAACCAAATGATCTTTTTTCCATTATGGACAGCTTTCTTCAGCAGGTAAAAGTTCATACATCAGATCCCCTCGAAATTTGCTGTTTTGTTTTCTTTCATGTTTTTCGTAAACTTATCGTCATAATCTGAAAACCTACCTCAAGTCATGACGTTAAGATATCATGCAGTAGATAATATTCGAAAAACTAGGTTTCTATCGAATAATTATTGACTACTGAAGGTTTCTGTTATGTACTTGGTTTCAGCTGCATCTGTCTAAATCTTGATTTTATGCAATGACGCATCTTTGTCATCAATATTCAATACCATAATCTAATTAATAATGATTGCTCAGTTGATATTGGAGTCCACTACAGGAGTATGGGGAGAGTTTCCATGTGTATTATAACAAGGAAAGTGTGTCCGAATTCTATGCACCAATCTTTAGCCAAAGACGCAATGCTTAGAGCAGCACTAAACAAAAAAATATCCTCAAGTTTCATGCGAACACAAAGTTGGTCAACAGTTTACAAATATAAAGCGTGCTTGAACTTCAATATAATACTTCTAGCTTGGAATGTGTATGATTATTAAGGTTAATGGTCATACTTACCTAATGATGATGCTAAACTTAAATTAAAATTAAATCCTTCATTTCTAGAAACACCCCATTAGGATTGCATTGATTTAATGAAAAGGGGTGATCTTGGATATTGGTTAATTTTCAGGTAACAGATAAGAAAAAGTTAAACCTAGTTGCTTGTTTCTTCTATAATATGACTTCTTTATCCATTGTTAGTCAATGATAACCATAGAGCCCTTGAGATGAATAATTTGGACATGTTTGGCTTGTGGTTAGTATATATTAGTTCATCTACTTTTTCATGGAATACAATCAAAACTGGTAAATAGATCATTAACAATTCTAACTCAATCACAGATGTACATGACTCATCATAGTTATACTTAGGATAAATAGCACGCCACGCAACCCTTATTGTGGTGTGTGTATGCATACACTAATATGAAAGGGACAGTGAAGGATGGAAAAAGGAAAATGTGTAATCTCTGTTTAAGAAATTTTAGCAAGAAAATATTAAACGATAAGATGGATAACTAATAACTTCCATTCTCATCTGAACTATATGAAAAATCCATGCATTTTAAATCGTTAATACATCCTAACTACATGTAGCAAATGTCAAAAAAAAACAAGAGACTTTTTCGGAATAAACTCAGGGATAAAAGTCATCTAATTGTAAAATTGTCTTCCTTTTGATATATGATATAATATCGTCTAATATCAAAGTAGATGATCTGACTCAAAGCAACAAGATTTTTTGTCATCTTCTACTCCTACCTATATATATATATATACTAGTTTTTGTGCACGTGCAATGTACGTGGTTAAATATCAAAATTATTTATTTATTATTTATTTTCTTACTATAAAATAAGTCAAATTCATTTTGAGTTAAAATCTATAACATGGATTATTGCATGTGCCATAAATTTTATTTAAATATTTAAAAAATTTGTGAAATAGATTTGTGTGTTAAACTGGGATCAATATACTTTTATATACTTGCATACACAATATTATTTTTTAAAATTTGTATATATCAAACTTCATGTAACATATATTTGTTTATTGGATCAAATCATCGATCTCCAATTTGTTTATCTTAGTCATAAAATGTAGTGCTAAGTTTAAAAAAAATACAATAATATATTGTTAATGTGTTAATAAATATATAACCAAATACTTAATATTAAGATGGTTTGTATAAGCTTAGCACATAATACATACTTTTCACAATACTGCAAGATATCTTAATTATTGATAGATTTAAAATAAAAAATACTAAAGATTAATGATAATTCTAGTATAATTTTATATGACAAAAACATTTACATAAGCATATTAAAAATTTTGCGTGAAAATTCTTTCTAAAAATTCCTATTTTTACTCAAAAAATTAAGCTTTACTATAAAATATTCAAAAACTTTTATCCTTTATTCCTTCTTGTTTCATATTTAATTGAGTCGAGATCAATCATTCTCTACATTTATCTTTATCCCAGGCAATTCTACAGTAATGTCTTCATCGTCTTAATCAATTATGATATCAGGTTAGTACATAATAAAGAGTAAAAGATATAACAAGAGTCTAGAAATATATTAGGATATACTTGGATCAATCAAATTATATTATTACTCATAATTGATATGTATCAGAGACAAAACATTTTGATAATTTTAAATAATAAGATAGATTGTATGGGTGCTCTAGCATAACTCTTTTAGTTTAAACAACTCTCAATATTAATTTTAAAAATCTCCTGGGGCCAAGAATAAACAAGTAACAAGTTTGCAGTGGAAGGTAGTAAAACGTAGTATATTCTTAAAAATTATTAATCTTTACTTAATTTGTTTATAAT